TTATTCTTTACTAACTGACCCGGCTGACTTTGTAGTACCTCAATCGATAAATAAAATACCCAAACTTTTGTATAAAATAAACTTAAAACAAACAAAAGGAAGCCGTCCGGCGGGGCACACGTCAAAGGGAAAACAAAATTGTTATTTTTATTTAATTCCGAGTATTTTCATATTTATCTACCTTTTAAACCTTCTCTGGACTTCCACAAATAATTCAAGACCAAAATTTGCCAAATCGGTTCAGTCGTTTTCGAGTTCTAGCGAGACTAACGAACAGCAATTCATTTTTATGTATATACCTAGTCAGGTCATAAATTCTGTCACATGTTTAATGTAAAATAATTGAAACAAGTTTATTCATTATGTAACCATTCATATACCAAAATGAACTTAACAAAACATAGATTCTTATGACACTAAAGTTTATTCAAAATGACCTCCGTGATTTTGAATACAGGCCTTCAACCTGCGCGGCCAGTCGTCTATCGCAGCACGAACGNAAAAAAAAAAAAAAAAAAAAAAAAAAAACCTTCTCTGGACTTCCACAAATAATTCAAGACCAAAATTAGCCAAATCGGTCCAGTCGTTCTCGAGTTTTAGCGAGACTAACGAACAGCAATTCATTTTTATGTATATAGATATGTGTTATTCCGATATTTTGCACTTTTCCGTTCACCTCAAATCCAAAGATCAAGTAAATTACTTTTTTAAACAAAACGAAACGAATTTAAAACACAATTCGTATTCTGAAATAACTTGATCCAACGAACTAGTTGTACATAATTCAGTAATACCATACATATGCGAAGTTGTTGTTCGAAAACACTTGAACTCAGAAGATTATCTTTTCTCCTGTTCTCGGAGCACACAACAAAGACACGACATGCGATCCCAATTAACGAAAGAGTTCTCTTGTTGCTTTGACTTGTTAATATTAAATACGACAACTGACGAATCGAAAGGAATCCCGTTAGCGTTAAGACAAATTGAAAAAAAGATTGAAATTCGAAATGATAGGATTCTGCCTCTTTGAGTAATCACAACCCGTTTCGCCTTAGCTGGTAAAATTTTATTTCTTCATTCGGATTAGTTAAATTGTAGGTTGTTTATGCAAACAGAAATATATGTATACTAGGTTTTGGCTGCGACTGCGTCCGCGTTGTATAGTTACATTGGGATTACGCTAAATTTTACCCGCGAATTCATTTACGTAGAAGGTGAAAATATTTTTGAGTAATAGATTGTTGTGAAACCTCCAGTTTTATTTTCATTATACCTCGAATAGAACTTGAAATGAATATCTTTATAATAAGGAACTTCGTTCCTATCCGGTGTCCCACGATACCACACATCTTTTTTTTTACCGGGAACAAATCACACACGGTCATCCTGTCCCAATTCCCTTTATCATGGGTACCAGAGGCTAATAAACATAGTTATATATATTCAAATATATACATGTATAGATAATAATCACCCAGACAAAGAGCAAATAGACCTGTTTGTCACACGAATGTTTGTCCGATGTGGGAATCGAACCCACGACCCTCGGCACGACAGTTAGGGGCGCTAACTAATGCACATCGTTCATTCGCGAACGTTCATAGACAACTAAATAGGTTCACTGTCATTGGAGCGAATGGTAACCTGAACGTCTACGGTAATGAAATTATCTGGGACCTACTTTGACACGCGGAATCGAATCTTCAATTGCTTTTGCCTTACCACTAAATAAATTACGGAACGATTAAGATTCCCCACAGCACGAATGTCCTCAGAATAAGACTAAAACCATTGAAGTTTGAAGATATTGAAGTTTTTTTTTGGTGTCCGGTGTAATCTGATTTTTATATACATTACCTTTAAGAATAGGTAATCCTGGGCTTAATACTATTGAAATCGTGATGAAAATTATTAGAGCTTACAACTCAGCACGCAATGCATTGTAATTTCGAAAATTACCTGAGCTGCGGGTTAGTGACTTTCTGGGTTTTCGTTCGATTGCGAGTTCTTGATGTAGGTATGTGTACTTCTTCGCTGGTAGCCTAATAAGCTTTCCATGTACGCTCAGATAGATAGGTGAGCTCACGGGCTCAATCTGAGAGAATTTGCTAATACTAGCCCTAGCAAGAGCAGTGCTATGCAAAATCTACCATCGGATCGGAATCGCAACCCACTGAGAAGATCCAACGAGAAACTCAGTGGGTTGATGTACTTGCAAAGGATGAGTGCTTAAAAATAACAATTGTTATTTGCTGCTCTCCACACTATGCTTTATGGTATTACGTATTAAAGTAAATCACTACATAGTATAAAACAAAGTCGCTTTCTCTGTCCCTATATCTGTCTGTCCCTATGTATGCTTAAATCTTTAAAACTACGCAACGGATTTTGATGCGGTTTTTTTTAATAGGTAGAATGATTGAATAGGAAGGTTTATATGTATAATAACATCCATTAAATAGTGGAGAAATCAATAATAAATTACAGTTTCCGAAGCGAAGCGAGGGCGGGTCGCTAGTGAATATATAAAGTGGAGGTAATAAAAAGATCGATCTGAACTTATGTCTCGTATTATTACGCCGATTTCCCGAGCAACCCTTACCCATTTACAGCAAACTTCGGTCTGTTTCTGTTAAACAAACCGAAAACCCCTTTCGTAATAAAGAACACTACACTTCTAATTCTAATCTCGGCACAATTGAAGTGAATTTCTCTTGTTCAATGAAAAGAGACGAAACAAACCGTACGTACAACCGCTTGTGTAGGTGACGCGACAAAGAACAGACATAGGTACAGAACCGGCGTTCGTGGTTGACATAAAGCGATTGTATAGAATACAATTTCTGCCTCGGACGCCTTTGTACAATACACGTCGTCCTTTTCAGGTCGCTTCCAGTGGTAACGTGTAGCACAAATAATTATTATGAGACGGCTATTGTGCGAGAAAAAAACGGTTTGTTTAACGTTTAGACGGGTAGTGGAATCGTTTGGTCTTTTATTAAATCGTTTTGGTAGTGCACAACACAATTAAACTTTGTCCAAGCCTATTGGATCAATGTGGTTAACAAACATCACTTTTCAATATCAATAATATATAATTATTTAACAATATCACGATTTTTGCACTCAAACACACTCAATCGTGTTAATATGTCTTAAACTTAAGAAACACCTAAAGTACATATTAATGCTGAAATTGTTTTAAATTAACCATTTAAACACAATGTTTAACTAAATTTCTTAAGATTGAGGCCACAGACTAAACAGCGACATGGCAATTTGGCATTTCGTAAATCTATCGTCATTATGAATCATAGGGATGCACCGTAGGTGAATGAATCATTCTAGAAAATGAAGGAATTGAACTTTTCATGACAAGTTCAAATTTCTAACTAGCATCTATCTATAAATATAAAAATTAATTGCTGTTCGTTAGTCTCGCTAAAACTCGAGAACGGCTGTACCGATTTGGTTAATTTTGGTCTTGAATTATTCGTGGAAGTCCAGGGAAGGTTTGAAAGGTGAGAAAATATAAAAAAGCTCGGAATTTATAAAAACAAACAATTTTGTTGTGTCCCCTTGATGTGTCTTTTATTTATCGATTGAGGCACTACGAAGTCTGCCGGGTCAGCTAGTATATTATAAAACCTTTTTACTGTGTTTTTGGAAGTGTTTTAAATGTTTCTATTATAAAGGCTTAGTATAAGCAATGTCACACCGTAATAACGCTAAGTAAATGAAGTTGAAATGTACTTATGTGTGAATGTATTCAACTTTTTAAACATAAACTAAATAATATTACATACAAGCAAAAGCTCATAATATCATATATTTTTATAGTAATTTTATTACTTAGCGAACATTTTTACTTTTATCCATAGATATTATTATAATTAAATACGTTTCAAAATATCGATATGTAAGAATAAATAGCCCCCAAATATTAATTTATGGAATCCGTGAAATTCTTCTTCTCATTATTTTGAGTATTTGAACATCATACATGTTATTAGGAGTGGGTAATAAAGCTTTTGCCGCGTATCAAATCGAAACCATATATTGCAGATATCTGATTCACAAACAATATATTTTGTGAAATCATATTTTCTGAATTCATATATATCCGAATCGATTTTCTCATATCTATTGCGAGATATAGACAACACGATTTCGTTATTTCGATATCATTATACCGTATACGATTTTTACAGTGGATGATATAATATGATTTTTGTTTCTTATGCAATCGAATCGTTTGGTTCTATGATTTCCCAACACTATACATTGTCTTAGGTTACTCGTTAGCCATTGCTGTTTACTACATTAATCTACTAAGATTGGACAGCGTATAGATACATTGTTACTCTTTTCTCATATTTTTTTTTTGTTATTTCCCTTGTAGGCAGACGACGAGCATACGGTCCACCTGATGGTGAGTGGTTACCGTCGCCCATGGACTTCAGCAATGCCAGGGGCAGAGCCAAGCCGCTGCCTACCGCTAAGAGCTCTCCACAAGGCTCGTTAAGTATAGTTATAGTTGGGGAATATACGTATAATAAAATGCATGTCCTTGTTTGTAGACTTCAACATACTCGCGAACGTTGGAGAAGCCAAAATCTTCTTGTATATTTTAAATTTACAGTTAAATTTAAAACAACACCAATTGAAATTAGTATATTAGTAAATTTAATATTGGTGCATACTGCATAATTTACTCTTTGGTAGGGTGTCTTGTGAATCCTACTATCCTACTAGGTACTACCAACCTGCCTATTTCTGTCCCGAAGCAGTAATGCGTTTCGGTTTGAAGGGTAAGCCAGCCGTTATGCTGAAAAAACTGAGAACTTAGAACTCATGACTCAAGGTGGGTGGCGGCATTTAAGTTGTTCATGTCTATGGACTTCGGTAGCGACTTAACACCAGGGAGATCAGCTAGTCCATCCGTCTAAGCAATAAAAAAGAAAAATAAATTTAAGAGCGTATTTTTTTTGTTACAGGTGTGATTCCGAAGTGTTCAAGTCGAAAATGCCACTGAAAAGTGTTGACGCGCTTTCAAAGTTAACGAATGCGATCGTAAACCTCTAGTGAACATTAAGAAACGGGAAAAGATGCCGGTGAAAGCGAATGTCGGTTAATTAACATGGAAAAAATGGCTGGCAAGGGACTCGGGGGCGAGGTGATTGGCTTCTTCCTGGCTGTGGCGTTTTGCATCATTTGTCCCGAATATGGTGAGTAGAATTATGTGATATTACAAATAAGTACCTCCAGAAACGCATTACTGCTTCACGGCAGAAATAAGCAGGGCGGTGGTACCTACCCGCGCGGACTCACAAGAGGTCCTATCACCAGTAATTACGCAAAATTATAATTTTGCGGGTTTGATTTTTACTACACGATGTTATTCCTTCACCGTGGAAGTCAATCGTGAACATTTATTAAGTACGTATTTCATTAGAAAAATTGGTACCCGCCTGCGGGATTGGAACACCGGTGCATCGCTCAACACGAATGCACCGGACGTCTTATCCTTTAGGCTACGACGACTCTCAAATGATGATAATACTAATAATAAATATAATAATAATAAATATTTTACTAACAATCACGCCACGTTAACTGGTCCCGTGATAAGTTCGTAAAGAACTTGTGTCACAGGTACCAGATAACGGAAATAAATGTAAGATTTTTATTATACACATACATATATTTAACATACATCCATAACCCTGGAAAAGACATTTATATTTATCATACAAATATCTTCCCTTGGCGGGATTCGAACCCGCGACCCCCTTGTGTAGTGACCATGTCACTTACCACTACACCAGACGGCCGTTGATGAGTTGTTACCGTTGCTTATGGAAGGCATATATGTGAGAAGCGCAGCCAGGTCACTGAAAAAGGTCACTGCCTAGTATGAATCGTATATTCGTAACGGGCCACGTACCGTTGTTCCTCAATGTCATTTTCATGTTTATTTCATTGTGCTCGGTTTGTTAACGCTGTCACTGACATTGGCAATGTTGCGTTAAAGTTTCCCTGAAGCTAATAAAAATGCTCTTAAACTAAATTGATAAACAAAACAAGACATTTGAGAAGCAATTAATTAAACAAGGATAGGATAGGATAGGATAGAACAGTAGATCGTTATCTACCTTCGTTTGAAATTTACATTAACGGAACCGTACCGATGACCCAGCGCTAATAAGCGACAGTAAAGCAACAAATATGGGTTTGCATACCTTTACCCCTAACAAAGAGCTACCATACCTCGTAAATTGTTACTGAACCCAATTATCGTGGGTCGTTCTCGAATTCGTGAAGCCTAAGTCAGGTCACACACGTTACTATTTTTAAAATTCGTAAAATCAAACCGTATCTGTAATGATTAAAAGTAATTTTACAGTTTTAATGTCGCATTTATAAAAAAAAAATATGTATTGTTTACGATTTTTCGAATGCTTCAGTTTTCGTGGTTAGGTACGGCTGTCGGACGTAGAGAAGGAGATCTCAGAAATATTATAATGACGGTTGCAACGAGAGATTCAACCTCGGGAAATCCGATGAAAATATCGTATTTATAATGTTCTAGATACAGCTTTAAAACTTTGAAACATAGCTATAATATTGAATGTATTATAGTAATTTCTAAACATTTAGTGTCTCATTTTTCAATAAGCTGACGGCCCATCTGGTCATAAGTAGATCGGTACAGCCATACTGCATATTTCTGCCGCGATGCAGTAATGCGTTCCGGTCTAATGAATGGGCTGTTATAGACTCAGATTCAGACAGATTTAAAATACTACAAAAGGCTGCATTAATGTTATCATAGACATGAGCTCTGGTAACCATTTTACATTAAAAGGGTTGTAAGCGCGTTCATGCATCAACGCCATAAAAAATATCAAGATGTTTGTTGACGATATGCCCTTAATTCAGAAACACAACTTCTTTAGATAACCCTAAATCACAAAACCATTGTATGTGATGTGCCTTAATTCATTAGGGACGTACCAATTTTCAGACAACGCTGTTTGGTTCCGCTCCTAAATAGTTCAGACAGGTACATTACTGAACGAACGCGGCGGAAATCGAATTTAGATTGATTTGTTCCGCAAGATCGGGGTAAATTTAAACGGAATTGAAAAGTTTAGGAAGCGATTTACGATTGCGTTTTCCCAATAAAACTTACTTTTAGACTTCGTTTTCATTGCTATAGTAAAAAAATTATAGCTCAGTAGAATTTATCTTTTTTTTTCTTTAGACATTTTTTGTTGTTGGAAATTGATAGTTAAAATGACTAGTAAAACAATGTCCAAAAAATATATTAGTTCAAAAAAACTAAAAAACACGCTTTATATAAAATTCAACAAAAATATAGAAAATAAATTCTAATAAATTTTAATTGAAAATAGTGTAAAATATATTTTATTGTAAAAAAAGCGTGGGGTGCATGGTGTTATTAGTTATAAATATTTTTCTGACAGATATGAGTACCTAGAAGAATTATTATTTCAATAATATGTTAAAAAGCACCCCTCGCTTTTTTTAAATAATTTTAATACACTATTTTCAATTTAAATTTATTAAAATTTATTTTCTATTTTTTAGTTGAATTTTATATAAAGCGTGTTTTTTAGTTTTTTTAAACTATTATTTATTTTTCAGTTTTTATTTAAATTTTCTATAAAAGCGTATTTTTAAAACTATTAGGTAATTTGACATCAATTCCTGCCTTATCGACTATAGATAAAAATTATATAAATTGGCAAAAATCTTATTTTGCAAATTGAATAATGGAATAATCTTATCAAATTAGTGTATTGTCATCGGTCCTCGATAAATCTACAAAGTTTGAATGAAATCTGGCCGTTTAAAGTGGCTCAAAACCGCGTCTAAAGAGTCAGTTACAAACATACATACAAGTTAAGCTAATATAAAGCGTGTAATATTGAATCACTAATACTAGAAATAATTAGTTTTCAAGACAATGGTATCTTGTTTTATTTTTTCGTTTTAGCTTAGATTTCGTAGTAGCTTAGATGGGTGAATGAGCTCATGGCCCGTCCGATGATACGTGGTTATTGGAACCCACAAACACCGTTACGCAAATTCCACCACCCAACTTGACGCATGAGGTCTAAGTCTGAATTAGTGTCACGGTCTTTCTACTCTCCAAGCCAGAATGCATTACTGCTTCGCGGTAGAAGTAGGCAAGTTTATTCATCCGTAACTTAACACCAGCCATGCAAGACAAGAAGTTAAGACTCGCTCGGATCTTTGTGGCTTGTGGCTAAGGGGTGATGTTAGCGCTCTCGATATTGTACAGTACGATACTCTTAGGAATTGTTTATAATGAAAATCATTTTCTTTTAACTGTCGCACCGGAACTTGTGACGTGAGCACAGTTCACATCACTACCACTTGGAACTTATCGACAGTATGGTTTAAGTTTTCAAGTCTTGCTTCTGACATCAGTCCCATCCAAGAAGCTGATCGCTATGATATGCCTTACTTGAAGAAGAAGAAGTTTGGAAAAGTCTTTAGAGGTAGATAGCTTGGCCGTGCCGTGCATTGCAGCAGATACTAACCACTTAACATCAGCTAACGGCTCTTCTGTCCTATATAGCTAATTAAAATAGACAATATAACTAAAAATAAGAGTCGTTTGGCAACTAGAATGCGTCGCAATTCATTAAATAATAGAAAATACATATTTCGTAGATATTTTGTATTCAATTATGTGATAAATGAATAAGTTCACAGGATTAAAATCACTTTATTCAATTACGTAAACAATCAGTAGAATGAAACTCACGAATTAACATACGTAGATGAAGTTTTTCTAGATCCCACATTTAAATACCAACATTACATATGCACGCCAAGAACAGCGCCGGCTTTTGTAATGAGTTTTCATAATGTAGAGCTCACTACATTTATTTCATTGTTCCATAGCTGTTTCAACACTTTAAATATCATACGAACAATAAACAACTTTGTTTGGAAGGGACAAGGCTTGTTTTTGGTCGCTATTCCCAAGGGTCGCAATACCCTACTCATAGTCATAGGATACTTTACAAAATTTGTTTATTTTATAACGGAATATGCTTGTTCATGTCCGTTTTACGCGTAATTGTCGAGCTAGTGAAAACTAGAGGTCCAAATTGTTTGTTTTTGTTGATACTAAATGTATTTTTATGGTTTTAATAAGCAGCAAATTTTGGTTACCAGTGAAATTTTGTCATAATATTGTCAATTAATAGCATACATATCGTAAACTGCTTTATCTTTTGTCGCTTCCATTAGTTTTATAAACATTAAATTTTGTACGTAAAATATGGAATAATTAATTAAAATTTCTATTATAATTCGTGGAAAAAAATTTTAATATCAGGCATAACCACTACTAGGTGGCTTCTTATTTATTATGCAGTGTGAGTGTTCGAGGAAAGACATCTGATCTTTTTTAGTCACTGTAGTCAGACAAGGATGCGGTTCACCTGTTGGTGAGTGGTTACCCTCGCTGAGGTCAGGAATGCCAGGAGCACAGTCAAACCGCCTACTGCAAACCTCTTCTTGGATTTAGGTGGTCCCATCCCATGTGATCCTACTAGGTGGGGTCGGCACAGTGAATTTTTCTCTTCCATTCTCTTCTATCAGCCGTCATCTCAACACTCACTCCTCTCTCTCTCTCTCTCATATCGTCATTCACACACTCATTCATGTCTTCTTCGGTCGACGTGTTCATAGCGCTCAGGAAAAATCATGGTATGAAAACATTTGCTGAGCCGGACGGTAATGCTGAAAAATCAGATCTGAAATCTCTGGGAACGGACTATGAGGTGGCACAGTTGTTTTAGTATTGATTCTGCTCCGGTGGCGGGCGGAGCGATGTTAAAAACGAGAAGATGAGATAAATATCTCAGAGCCTTTGTTTGTTTTTATTTATTCCCTTGCTTTCGAATTTTTATAGGATTGTAAAACTTATGGTATATCTGCAATTTGGCCAGATCGTAAATTCAAAGGTAACACGCGACTCAAAGGTTATTGCCATACAAAATCATGTCGGCAACAATTTCATGCAAAAGTTTCAGACACTACTTAAAAAAATAACATTTTGCTATAGCACTGCTGTTACAAGTTCACGAAATTTAATTCGCAAACCAATTCTAACTTTGTTTAACAAAATAAACAGTTCTCTAGTTTATGTGTTAAAATAAGA